CAGAGCCAACAGTTTGAAAGACAAGTCGTCGGTTTGTCTAAGTTTACGTGCAATTACTATAGTTGAGAACGACGACGAAGAAGAAAAATGTGAGAAGTCGGTTTTGTCATCCTCTGGAGACGATGTTCTTGAGGATTTAGAACGCTTCTTTGATTCATATGAAATGACTTCAGTTTCTCCAGTTGATCCTCCAAAGGCTTGTGCGTTTTAACCTATCAAACAATGCAGAAGTGTGCTGCCGAAATTGAAAAGTACAACCCGACTGCATCAAACGGATTCTGATGTACCTTATGATAAAGTAGTTAGTCGTGCGCGAAAAGTTGGAGGGAAGCACGAAACGTGGCTGAATCTGGAGTACGTTGGTCCTGAAAGTATGGCTGGTAAACGAGGCGCGGTTGATTTTAGAAATGTTGACCACTGGGAAGACATATCGGAACATCAGGAAGCTGACACAGCGTTCACCACAGATTTAGCAAGTTTGAATTCTGTTAAATTCGATGAGAAAGAGTTTCATGACGCAAAAACTAGAAGAAATTGGGTCTTGGGAGAAGAATGAAGTGTTCCAGGAAGTGCCATATGAAGGACAACCTTTGATTGGTACAATATGGGTCCTTACCGTCAAAGACGGGACTCGTTGCCAGGCCAAATTAGTGGCAGAAGGATTTCAAGATGCTGATTCTGATAGTATTGTTAAGTTTTCACCTACTTCTGGTCTGGACGTAATTTTTTTAGATAAGCCGTATCCTTGTACTCTACTGTTGCAAACTAGGCGTTTTATCAGGCGTTAGACATCAAAACGGCTTTTCTACAAGGTCTACCTATCAGAAGGAAAGTTTTTATCAAATCGCCTAAAGAATACAAAGACACTCAGAAAGTGTGGAAACTCAAAAAGTGTGCGTACGGTCTCAGTGATGCCTCCAGGTACTGTTATGAACGGTTGTCGAATGATCTGCAAGTGTTGGGTGGCGTCAAATCAGCGTATGATCCCGGAATTTTCATCTGGGCAGACAAACAGGGCATGATCTGTATACACGTAGATGAGTTATGGGCTTTTGGAACAAATGAGTTCCAGAAATCTGTGCAGATGCATTTGGAAACTCTGCACAAAGCTAGACAGTCGTACGTACAAGCTGAAAGTTAGGAGAGAATCCGTCGTGCACTGAGACACAACGTTAAAAATTGTGAGAAAGTTTTTACCATTGGCACAACTGTTTTCTATCAGCGTCGAAACAAGTTCTGGAGAGGACCAGGTAAAGTGGTAGGCATAGACGGATCATTAGTGCTGGTAAGACATGGTGGTCAGACTATCAAAGTTCACAAATGCCGAGAAAGAGTCGACCCGAACCATCAACCGACCCAGAAAAATGAGATCAATGGAGAGACAGAGCCTACTGAAACCGATAATCCAATGAAAACCAATGAAACCAACAGAGCCAACAGTTTGAAAGACAAGTCGTCGGTTTGTCTAAGTTTACGTGCAATTACTATAGTTGAGAACGACGACGAAGAAGAAAAATGTGAGAAGTCGGTTTTGTCATCCTCTGGAGACGATGTTCTTGAGGATTTAGAACGCTTCTTTGATTCAACTGAAATGACTTGTTTCTCCAGTTGATCCTCCAGACGCTTGTGCGTTTAAACCGATCAAACAATGCAGAAGTGTGCTGCCGAAATTGAAAAGTACAATCCGACTGCATCAAATGGATTCTGATGTACCTTATGATGCAGTAGTTAGTCGTGCGGGAAAAGAAGGAGGGAAGCACGAAACGTGGCTGAATCTGGAGTACGTTGGTCCTGAAAGTATGGCTGGTAAACGAGGCGCGGTTGATTTTAGAAATGTTGACCACTGGGAAGACATATCGGAACATCAGGAAGCCGACACAGCGTTCACCACAGATTTAGCAAGTTTGAATTCTGTTAAAGTCGATGAGAAAGAGTTTCATGACGCAAAACTAGAAGAAATTGCGTCTTGGGAAAAGAATGAAGTGTTCCAGGAAGTGCCATATGAAGGACAACCTTTGATTGGTACAATATGGGTCCTTACCGTCAAAAACGGGAATCGTCGCAAGGCCAGATTGGTGGCAGAAGGATTTCAAGATGCTGATTCTGATAGTATTGTTAAGTTTTCACCTACTTCTGGACGTAATTTTTTTAGATAAGCCGTATCCTTGTCCTCTACTGTTGCAAACTAGGCGTTTTATCAGGCGTTAGACATCAAAACGGCTTTTCTACAAGGTCTACCTATCAGAAGGAATGTTTTTATCAAACCGCCTAAAGAATACAAAGACACTCAGAAAGTGTGGAAACTCAAAAAGTGTGCGTACGGTCTCAGTGATGCCTCCAGGTACTGTTATGAACGGTTGTCGAATGAACTGCAAGCGTTGGGTGGCGTCAAATCAGCGTATGATCCCGGAATTTTCATCTGGGCAGACAAACAGGGCATGATCTGTATACACGTAGATGAGTTATGGGCTTTTGGAACAAAGGAGTTCCAGAAATCTGTAGTAGAACAGTTGCAAAGCATTTTTGTGGTTGGAACTGCAGCTAATCTGCCGCATAATTATTCAGGAGTTTTCGTTGACAAAGGTGAGAGAGGGTGCTATATCTATCAAACCACTTTCTGCGAAAATATTCTCGAAATAGAGGAGGAAAACTCCAGAACCGTCGATAAATCGTTAGAAACAAGCAAGTCTGAGAAATCCGCACTTCGTTCTACTCTCGAAAAGCTGTTATGGCCAGCTGTTCAGTCTAGACCTGATTTACTATATTCGATAAGCAACGCAATTGGCGTCATCAGAAGCAGCACAGTAGAAGACATCCTTCGCGTTAATAAAATTGTTAGACGTCTAAAACAGTCGGCTGCTCAGAAGTTATATTATCCGTCAATTGGTAACGAAGGCGATTGGTTTTTGGCCTTCTCTATGCTTCTCTATGCAACAACTCGAACGGGTCAACACAGGGCGGATACTTAGTCTTTTTGGCTAATAAACGCACGTTAGATTGCTCGCTTATTGCTTGGAAATCATGTAAACTCAAGCGTTTAGCAAGAAGCACGATTTCCGCAGAAACACTGGCGTGTATAGAGGGTGCTCATTTGTATAAACATTTTTGAAAGTGACGATGAAGCTGGATGTTCCGGTTCTAGCGTACTGCGATAATCGCTCTCTTGTAGATTCAGTATACTCCACGAAATCCACGTCGGATAAAGGTCTGAAAATTGATATTGCCTCTATTAGAGAAATGATTATCGCCGGAATTAATCGCCAGGTAATTTGGATTCCAACGCAGTATCAAGTTGCCGATTGCTTGACAAAATCCCGTAGTTCAGCGTCAGATCGGTTGGATCAAGTGCTCAGAACAAGCAATTTATTGCCATTTAGTTTTACGCGTGAAAACATCCCGCTGTAGCATTTCGGAAGTTTATAATATACTCATTTGGTATTTGATTCTATAGCGCTAGTGATATTCAATTATGCGCGGACCAGCGTTACGTTTCATGCTGTATACGTATACATGTTTACAACATTTCTCGTTTAGTGGGAGTGTTAAACATTTGTCATGTGTTAATTAATTGTCCCGTGTTGTTCTATTTATTGTCATTTGTAAAATCGTGATTATTTCAGTGGGGCTTAATGTAATACAAGTTATCCAATCAATGTTTTCAAATAAAACTACAAAAACTTCATATTGGTATCGGTTGAAGTTCATAAACAGCCCTTAAAAATGGAAATCATTTACCGAGCGGCAACAAACTTTGGGTCGAAACCTGTTGAGCCGAAAACAAAACTGCCGTCATTTAAAGGTCATAAAGTTTTTACGACCCATTCAAACAGAAACAAAAAAAACACAAACGGATATTTTTTGCCCTGGCAATTACGCAAAAAAAGGTTGACTAAGTCGATATACGATAAACTGAAACTGTTTGAATATTTAAAATGAAAAAAAAAAAACTGAAAAAAAAACTCAAAATGAGACATGGTAAATTTACAAATTTTTGAAATTTCAAAAATACTAAAAACTGTTTATATTGGAACAAAGCCCATGCTTCAAAAAAAATCAAAAAAAACCCTACCAGATAAGAAAAAAGGCGTGTAAAAAAACGGAAAATGAACCGACGGAAACTGGAACGAAAACCACAAACCCGAAAAAATTGAGACATTTTTTTGAACAGATAATTACATGAAACTTCAAAAGATAATTACAAACTGAAATAACAACCTTTGAAAAGATGATAACAACCTGAAACCAGGAGATCCTCTAGAAGTGAAGATCTTCTAGAAGAGGAAATTCTCAAGAAGTGTGGACAAAGTAGTTTACGGAAAAAAAAAGTCGAGACTCGATTGCAATACGCTTGCTTATCGCATGGGTAATCAGTAGCGATACATCGCAAACATAAGAAGTCGAAAATAAAATGAAAAGCGTAAGAAAACTAGGCCATCAAACATTTAATTTTTCACATGCCTCGCAAGAAGTTCATTCTAGGAAAAAATGCCAGACATTTGAATATTAAATTAGCAACGGAACAAAATTTACGAGGAGGAAACAAAACCGACAATCTTTGCGCAGGCACAATTAGAGCCGAAAAACCAAATGTTTTTTATAATTTTTTTTTTCAAGTTTCAAGTCCCCCTGAAACTGCAATGAACAACACTTGCAACTACAATAAAATTTCTTGCAGCACACGCAAAATTCAATTGCATACATGCTGAAAAAAACGAGGTCCGGCCGGGACTCGAACCCCTGGCCTTAGTATGCAAAGGCAACGGCGTTACCTCAGGGGCAAGTGGGAACAATCTTTTGTTAAGGTTCAATAAAAAATCCAAGTAAGACAAGCAAGAAAGATTGGATCTTTTGAGCTTTCGCCTCACCACATTTCAAATTATCCATTTTCATAGTTGTTTTACGTGTTATAACGACTAAATAAGTGATATTACGATGTGAATAGTTATGAGATCAACTGATTTAGCTAGTATCAAGTATAAATAATAGTTCTTACTATTCACCTGAAAAGGGTTGCTTGGAGAAGGAGTGTGAAGCAAAGTCCCTCAGATAAATGTGATGAATTGGATTGAGGTCATGCTCTACTTCCAGCGACAGAAAGTGTTGACTTTCATTCCCAATAAGAAGTTTCCCTCCATGGCGTAAAATAAAACCGTAGCGGCCATTGCCTGAAACAAGACCGCCTATTACGCTTGAAGAACAGCCTCATAAATTGAAAGTCAGCAGGACATCATATTCCCGCTATTTTTTAGACACAAAAACCGAAAAATGTTTACTTTTCCGTTACCCCCCCCCCCCCCTCAAGCTGGGTTCGTTATGCTAAACATTCTCAATCTGCACCGCGAGAAATTTTTGTTTGGTCTGCTTCATTTGCAGGAACACCGCCGTTATTAAACCTTAGCAAAATCAGATATATCAGGAGGCATAACCGAAGTCTAATCCGGGAATTGACCCAGTAGAGCAGAAAGTACTAACCAACAAAACCCAAGCTATCAAAGGTGTCAGAAGAAGGTCTACTCCTGTGTCCTCCATTAACAACTGGTGAAAGGGCGTCTTTGTACGAGTAATGAACAACGCGAACATTATGAGCCTCTACCCTTTCATCCAAAACTGCCAGATAAGGAGAAAGGCAGGTAGAGTGAGGTGAAACCAGCTTATTTTTTGTGTCGCTCAGCAAACTCGGGAAAAAATAGAACACTACGAAAAACGTTATCACGACTCCAAGTACAGCACGATTCCGAGAGTTCCTAAAATCAAATATAAAGAGCTACTCTTTCAACAATTCTGACGTTCAGGTTGAAAATTAATCATACTTGTTCAGAAAGTTGGTGACAGTTCCCAGAACCCCCGACATCTTAATTTCAAATTGCTTCATCATTTGAGCAACATAAGATGGACATATGTTGCGCAATTTTCGAAGCAGAGAAAGAATGCATGACATTGATTGTCATAAAATTGTTATTTTCACCATTCAACTGAAAAAAAACTAGCAATTAGAGAAAAAAACCAGTTATACACAGGGGCTAATCGGAGCTTCGCACCACTTGCGATAAAAAACAAAGATTAAAAAAACGTAGGTAAAAAAAAACATTAGATGTTCAAAAAAAAGGTGAACCAAAAATTTCCTACGCCTCAATAAAAAACAACCCCAGGGGCCCTGCTAAAGCTGGAGGTACGTGTTTGATACAATAATAATAACAAAAGGGGATTTAGGAATAAAATCCAAGGGTTCGCATAAAACCCAGTCATTGCAGTGTTCAAAGTTTAGTTTTCAGTTATAAGTGTAAGTTTCTTCAGGTCTCTACAGTTGTAAGAACTCATTACTGATGCGTCACGAAAAATGTCTCAAACCTTAATTGTTTCTCGAAAAAACAAAAAAGGAAAAAAAAAACAGAACACTATTAGCAAATTGAAATAAATTCGAAGAGCCAAGTGTAAGTCCAATTCAGATTAAAAAGATTTTTGATTAAAATGTAAATTTCGAACGTTTTCGCAACTAAGTGCATCGTCAGGACTTTTACAATGAACTGATCTTAATGACAATAAAACACCAATTTACATAAGTTATTCGCCATATTTCACATAAATTTTGGTTCTAAACCATCGTGTTAAAAAATTAGCCAATCAGAGTTGACGTCTAAAATTAATTTAGATTTAAAACTTCTCTAACCTCTATAATTAAGTTACAGATTTTTGATTAAACTGTCTGGAAATTTCTTGTTCATAATTTAAAACTCGCCCAAATAATACATGGTGACGGAGCGTAGAAAAAGCACCTATTGACGACTGGCCGGCGTCAGTTACCTAAGTTCTACCCGTTTTGCACAGTCTCGACCTAGCCAGTTGATTTTCTCGTCTATTTAGGGCTAAGTAAAAGTTATCATTTTAGGCCATCAGTCAAACGACTTTTGATCAGCTTTCGTTACATGCGAAGATAAGCACATAGCTGCGTCTTGGATCTCCAGTGTGACATTCGACCAGAATGGCCAAAATGCAATCTCTGCGGAATTCGAATTTTTAGCAGCGAGCCTTCCGGATTGGTGATTATTGAGAATTAAGAACGTTATTTGAACAATTGAACAAAACGTGAAGGTTAAAGGATTCGGAAATTGCTAATTTTTAAATTTTCGAAGTGATTACGTAACATTTCTGAGAAACGTCAGAAACGGCCATTTTGGCAAAAAAGCTAGAAAACAACAGAACAACATTAGTTGCGCGGACGATAACTACGAGAATCGTGATCAAAAAACAACAGCAGATTGCAGGAGTAGCAGAGAAGGTTCCGAGTTGCAACTATTGTGTCGCTACAATAGTTGCAAGGCCGTTGCGGACAACGGTGAAGTGTGGAGGACAGCCTTCCGGATTAAGAGGAAATCAAGATTAACGAGCTTGATTAAGTGGATTCAAGAATCCGGAAGGGTTTCGGAACTGAAACTTTTATCCTTTTGTATAGACTTTTAGCTTCTTGTCATGTCCTGATTTGAATTTAATTAACAACTAGATTCATTTTGATAAGGATGAGAAGCTAGAAGTTGGGGAAAGGGGTTGATCCATCTTCGATGGAGATGATGATTTTTATCTACTGAACAAAAACAATAGTAATATAATAAGTAGTAGCCCTGTTTTTAGGAGTGACCTCGTGGTCTGGAGATACTGAGACCCAGCCATGAGCTCACTATTTCTGCATGTAATCTAGTTAATTTGAGTGTTTTGACCGAAGCCGAAAGCAGTAACGTTTTGTCGACCCGATGATAGAAAAGACCACCGAAAAGTACTGGCTAGGTAGAGACGGTGAAAAGCATGCAAAGCTCTGTTTAGACGTTAGCCAGTCGTCCTAAGACTTAGTTTTGTTTTCCGTCGATATGTATCTTCCGGGCGAATGTTACATACATGTTTTTATGGCGCTCCTGGGTGTTATTCTTTTTAACATCATGACCGGCAGAACCGTTAACGAGCACTCCGCGCCGAGCGGATGCTCACATTAACGCCCTTATTAGGCCTAAACCGCCGGGGCGGAGAGGTGGTTCGGAGCGCGGAAGCCCTCCGGATTACCGTGAATAGCTTTTTAACTTAGTTAAGACCGAAAATTCACGAACCAGGAAGGGTGGGGGGATCGGCCATTCCCTCGTTCCCTGAGAGGTTTGTGACCAAAAACACTTAAAGATATATATAAAACCAAACAAAAAGTAGTATAGTACCCAAGAAAAACAAAAAACATAAAAAATAACCGAAAAAACCAAAAACAGTAAAAAAAAAAATGTAAAAAATCAGTAGAAATCATCCCCCCAGACAAGATGTGATCCGACCCCCCCGTTGTTGTTGATAGATATATTGTTGTTACAGGCATTTATATCAGTCAGGATTGTTACGATCAATTTTGTGGCCTGTTTGTGAGGCTTGTACTGTAGGGTTATTTGAGCATTTAAGCACGTTAATGATAAATTGCGCTCAATCCGGAAGGGTCAGCTGATTTGCGCTCAATTCGGAAGGGTCTTGGGAGAAGACTGATCCGGCAAGCAGTACAGGGAGCAACAGGAAGGCGCTCAACGACAACAACAATCGACTGTTGGGTATCGTTAACAAGTTTTGTATCCCTTTTGGTACAAAAAGTAAGATAGTAATCTGTGGGGGGCTCGACAGTGCTGCACTGTAGTGACCCTTCACCGAACTGCGAATATCCGAGTTAAGCACCTTAATTCGGATATTAAACAAACCCGGAGGGGTATAGTATTACTAATATTATTACTTATATAGCCTATATTAATAGTCTTATACCGTTTTTCAGTGAAAAACAACGAAAACAGACCGGTTTTTAGGGTCAAAATAGCGATATTTTGATCCCCCCACAAGTCGCGATTTTTGAGATATCGATAATTTTTGAAACGGAAAAAAGCGCTAAAGTAGTGTGTTACATCTTTATTGCACTACCATAATAGATAGAACCGGTTAAGTTTAGTTCGGAAGTGGTTGGAACTATTTTGGAACCAAAAACCGAATTTTCGTGATTTTTGAGAAACCGAAACACTAAAAATTCGGAAAAAATTTTTTGAAATTTTTGAGTTAGAACAGTAAAAATAGTTGTTCGGACAACGTTCACTAGTGAATCTACAAGTTTTAAAACCCGCTACCCGAAAGCCTTCCCGGTTGCAGAGAAATCGAACTTAACGTGTTTGATTTGGTGGATTCATCAATCCGGAGGGGTACAGGTAGCATAGTTTTTTGCAAATTTTTTCAACTAAAGCGTTTAAGATCGGAACTTTTGCATTAAACTAGAAGAGTATAGGCCTTCTGAGCTCGGATCAACAATTTTTAGGTCGAAAAGACCAGATTTGCGGAAAAAGTTAGGCGGAACCTATAATAGAGAAATTTCTTGACGTTTTGGCTAATAACTTTTCGACGACTGAACAGATCCAGTTGATCTTGGTACCAATAGATCAGAAATTAGCTGAGCTTACTGATAGGGACAAAAGTTTTGCAAAAAAGTAAGCGTGAAAATTTTTTGAGATTGTTTTTAGCAAATTCCTCAATTTGGAAGGGTACACCCTTCACGTTTCATAAATTTTTTTTAGAAAAGCCGTTATACCCCTACCAAAAGGTAATAGCGGTTGAATAAGGTAACTTTAGGCTGTTCTAGACAAAAAGTGAAGGCTAAAGGCACAGCAAAACCTTAATCGAGCCGAAGTTAGGCAAGCGACAAGACCCTTCACCGTTAGTGTGAATTGTAAAATAAGAGGCTTAACTTCAATCCGGAAGGGTCTAGGAAAGTAGTACATACCCTATCTAGTTAATTGAAAAAGCAAAATTGCATCGGAGAGCGTATCCGGAGGGGTATAGGTTGAAAGAAGGAAATCTCCGAAAAGCTACTTTTGCGAAACCGGAGGGCTCCCAATCCGGAGGGGTCAAAATTTTTTCAAGTTAGGAGGGGTCCAAATCCGGAGGGGTCTGGTGTTAACTAACTCGGAGGGGTCCCAATCCGGAAGGGTCTAAATTTTTTTTTAGTCCGGAAGGGTCCTATTTGTGCCAATCCGGAGGGTTATTATTTTATTAAAGGACTTAGGTAGGTGAAAGAAAGACTAAAGTGAGAGGTATTAGGTTATTAGCACACAGGCTAGGAATCAGTGACTGCACTGGTAACTTGCCTTTCAATAAGAACTAGACCAAAACAAAACAGGTCCGAACTCGGATATTCGCGATACTAAGTCTATATTAAAAAGAGCGTGATTCATTGGTGTGGATTGTAACATAATACGTTTTTGTGAAAAGTGACTGCCCTGAGGATTTTAGTAGGTCTAGCTCGGGCAGTCCGAAGGCAGATAGGTAACACAGTACTCGGTGGGCGCAATAGACGCCCACTTGAGAAAATTACTGCCTTCAAAGTTTTGTCTGTTTGGTGCAGCACCGAGCGGGGAAAGCTTTTTCTTTGAAAGACAGGTTCGACTATTGTACTGCGACCGACTAAAAGTACATTACACATACGTTTTTCTTTTTATAAAGGCATTAATATTCTGTCATTATATAATTTTTTTTTGTTTTTGATTTTAAATCAACGTAAACTGTGCTTGATTGGGTAGTGAGTACACTATCTTTTAAATTGACTGATAACATCATATAGTGCTAGCTTTCGAATCTTACGACCGATAATCGGCTACTGTGAATAAATTTTATACAAACTGTACTCTGATAACATACAGGGATTCATGGTCACTATTTAATAAAATCTTGTGAAATTTTTTGTGTTGTGTCATTATTATTGTTAATAAAAGTATAAGGTCACTAGCAATCGAGTTAAGTGTATAGGCATTAGGAAGTGACAAATAGAGAATGAGTCTAGACAAGTCAACGATACGAAAACGAGGTAATAGCTCTAGGAAATTCATACCTGAAAAGCAAAGAAAAACGATGACCGATCCTTTTGTGGATTGGATCAAGCGATCCCGGTCCGACAAAGGGGAGACGGTTTCAGGCAGATTGGTTG